TCCAAAGTGCTTCACAAGCTGAGCCAGGGCTCTGCTCTGATAATAGTCACTGGGGATGGTTCTGAAGAATGAAGGGAATCTCCTTCGATTGCTCAAACACGCACAGGTAGCAAAGTGGCTGATCTGTAGAGAAGAAATAATATTTTAGATGGAAAAATCCTTAATTACTAAGATTTAAAATGTATTTATTTAAAATAATAAAATGTAAAGAGACTGTGTGTCTTCAGAAGTACAAGAAAAGTTGAAAACAAGACAGGATTAGATATCCTAAAATTAAATGAGGGACCTCTTTTGAATATTTGCTTTGTGATATTAATAATAAATTATTTGAAATATTTTAAAATAGAAGTTTAAAACAAAAAAGATCAAACTGTTAAATCATGGATTTCTCACCACAGGAATATGAAAAGGTCCAACTGCTGCTGCCATTGCAATCGTGGTTGATGATCCAGACTCTCCTATTATAGCTTGAGCTGCAGCTGGTCTGGAGCAGGAGGTGTCAGAAGATTCCTCATATCCGTTCATCAGAGACATGGCTGCTCTTACAGAAGAAGGTGAGGAGTCACAAGAATCAAAAATCCTATATCCCAGAGACACGCCGGGAAGAAGATCCATCCTGTTGTTGATTTCCTCAATGGCAAAAATCATTGTGTGTGCCGACTGAAACTCTACAAAGTTCAATCTATGAAAAAGTCATAATATAATTTATTTTCCTGTTCTTTTTGTTTTTTGATTCAAATGATTGTAAACACAAACTTAAAAACAACCAAAAGCCTGAAATTGTGTGCTTCACTTGTGGATTGCCGCAAAATAGAATAACTCCAAAGACAAAAAATATACTGTCATACTACTACTACAGTATTCTTAGTATTAGCATCAAGACTGTAGCATGATGTCAGTAATATAATTTTTATTGACAATATAAATGTGTTACTTGACTGTGATATACCAACAAACCTTTGACATTCAGAAGTTTCTGGAATATTTGTATAGAGATCCTTTTTTTCAACAGTCTTGGTGTGCATTGTGAACACTCCCCCGATCATAATCTCTCTCTCCTTCGCTAATTTCGGAAATATTGCTCTGCCTTGAAGCCTGCAAAGAGGCTCTTCTGCTGAAGTCAAAACAGCAGCAATCATCGTCAGTGCTGTTACTAGCAATAACATCCTAGAGCACACGGAGACACTTTCTGATTATAGCAAAAATGTTACCATTAGTTGCCCTTATATTGTGCACAAAGTCTCAGGAGTTATTAGATAAGCAGTGCGTGAAGTTCACAATCTCTTGAGCAGGAATACTCTGAGGGTTTATTTATCTGCACCAATTTTAAATTATTACAGAACAGTTAATGTGATATTTATAGACTGGGTTGAGTGAAAAGTAAGAGAAGGCAGTCAACAAAATATGACATTTATATAGTTTTTATAGAACAATAACTGAGAAAAAATTAATACACTTATTCATACAGTATGTCTCCTCCTTTTACCAATTATTTATTTTTGTGTTCATGCTGAAAGTCTCTTTTACCTTTATACAAGACTCCAATAATAATTTCTGTGCAAGGTTAGCATTACAGCTTATGATATTCTCCCAGGTGATGCACATAAAATCTATACTACCAGTGAGGCATCTGCCGCCTTGCTAATATACAGTATGCAGATTTACAGTACTTACTTTTCAGGAGAAATTGTTTGTTATTGTTACTGTTTTGATAAATCGAACGCCGTTTTCACCCCAATATCACTTCAGTCTTTTACTAATGAAGTGCCCAGAGCATTTAAATTGATCACCTACAGCAAAGGCTGAGGACAACAGGTTAGTTCATACGACCTGATTTTGTTCTTCACTTGTTAGCAATACTGAAAGAAATTTCACACCACCCACACTACTGAAACCTAATCCTAATCAATTTCTCCTCTGAGGAATATTTGCAGATAATTTACAAATTTTAAATAGTTTCTCTTTGAGCTGCTGCTGAGTTTTTATTTTGGTTGCATGTTAGAAATGATTATACCAACTATATATTATATAATCATATTGCAATTTTAGTATAGAATTATTATTTCTGAAAAACATACATTACATGCAAGTAAGATATACAGTAAAATAGTTTATATAATTGTAATTATCTATATACTGTGCATTGTGTATACAAATGTTAATTTCCTAAATATAAATATGATTATAATTGTTCTTCTTTTTGTTTAGTACTATAGCTTGATAATGATACCCCTAAATATTATGATATAGTGATGCACTGTAAATTGTTTGTATTATTTACAGTATGTACAGTGCAACATGCAAGAAAGCACCATATCGCAAATATCTTGTGTGAACGATTTCGAAATGGGTCAGCCAAATGTCTCTTAAGCAACAGCATGGACCCACCCAAAGATCAAACCAGAATTTATTCTTTAGGGAACATTCCATATCCTGTACTGAAAATCTCAGATTCCATGTTGTTTTCTTCAAAATGATAAATAATTGATAAATGATCAAAAACATTCTAGAAAAGTATGGAAGGACACTTGTTATAAAATCACATCCAGGTTTATTAGAAATAAATTGGATAAAATAAAGGTCCAGAATCCATTACTTAGCAAAGACAATCCGTTGTAGAGGCCTGTGTTGTGATCAGATGAACAGCAGGCCTGAAGAGTTTCTGCAGTGTGGTGGCTCTGTGGCTAAGGATCTGAGCCTGTGGCTGGAAAGTTGCTGGATTGTATCCCATTGCCGGCAGAGGAATCCTACTCTGTTGGGCCCCTGAGCAAGGCCCTTAACCCCAACTGCTCTAGGGGTGCTGTATACATGGCTGACCCTGTGCTCTAACCCCATGCTTGTCTCCCTGTCTGTGTGTCTCATGGAGAGGACACAAGTTGGGGTATGTGAAACGACAAATTTCTAATACAAGAAATTGTATATGAACAATAACATGATCTTATTCTATTTTAAAGAGCACAGGCAGCACACAGGTAATCCAAACTGATAGACAGACTAAAGCACAGAGCTACATCAAGCATGGGATGTGAACAATAACGAGACAGAACCTGGCACTGGAGGACACCTGCTTCTTCATTCCAAAATATTAAATAATTCCAGCAAGAGTGTAGCACTCAAGCTTATGAGCTTGTGTGTCTTTAATGTACAGTAGTACCGGGAGAATGAAAACTAGTGACTTTGTCTAGCACAGCTCTTCATCATCAAAAACTCATTACAGAGAGAAAATATCTTTTACTGATAATTGTAATTAATTATAACATAATATACTGATCTGAAAATCATACAGGAATCATGCTTAAAAGTCAGTGTTCATTCTTATGAAAAAGCCCTTGATAGTAAATTCCTAACAACTACTTCTTCTGGACAAAGAAAACCTTTGGTACAGTAAATAGTGTTCAAGAATAATGAAATAAAGTATGGCATGAGTACTTGTGATGTTGTCTTGTGTAGACTAGTGTATTGCAGTAGACTGGGAGCTACAGTATACATTATGTGCTTTTTTGTTATTCATAATTTCTAAGTGAAACTATTGTCACTTAATACAAACTGTACATTGTGAGATGAGTACAAATGAAAGAACTAAACGCCGATTACTAATGTCATTGTCATAAATAATGGGAGGTAACATTAAAAACATTTATATTAATAATTCACAAAAGTTAAGTCACTTGCATTTCTCTCTGAAAGTGTTATTTTGGTAATAAAGGTTCATAATTCAGGCCAATTCAACCTGTCACCAGTGAATAACAGCAGCATAACCATGTTATAGCAACATCTCTTGAGCTGTCATAAGCTAGACAATGCTTTGCCAATACTGGGTTGTAAAACCTGTAAGAAAAACTGGTTGCTGCTGATTGTGCTAAGCTGGCTATATGCAGTACTAGTACACAACATGGTCTACCCCAACATCCTTCGTAACTCATTTGCTCCTGCAGGTCATCAATATTCTACTGTGTCTACTGTGCGATGGGACTGTTGGCATGTAATTGCTGCCATGCTTCACCTGGGGTTCTATAAAGCACCTGGCATCCTTCAGGTGAAAGGAATTAGTATATGCTTTCAACACAAAATGCCCCAAACTGAGCTCTTTCTACCCTTTCAGTTGACAGATTGTCAGCTATTGTCTTTCACTCCTGAAATATGTTCTTCAGAATTCCATCTCTTTGCTATCCTCCTGTCATCTACCATTCTTGATCACCTTTTCATTTTGCCACTTTACCAACCCCACTACTCTCCCTCTCTCATTTCCACACTTGAAAATGTAAGTATCCTTTTTTTACTTTTCAGCAGGGAAGTGTACTTTCTACATAATAGCTGTTTTAAAGAGACTTGGAGGGCATTTTCCCCATTACACCTGAAAATAGGACATTTTATTTTTCAGTACAAAGTTAACTCTTACTTGTTTTGTATCTAGAGATGTATGGATAATAAAGCACAATATGCCATCATAAAAAGAAAAAAGGGGGAACCTTTTTTAGATGTTTTACGTGAGTTTTAAAGAGACTTGGAGGGCATTTTGCCCATTAAGTGTTTTCTTGTGTTTAGATCAGGCTTCAGTAAAATAATATGACATTTAGGTACAAATATACAGACAAGTAAACCGAAACTAGAAGCCAAGATTGCAAATATTTCCACAGCCACTGTGAACTTCCCAGGGGAGCTAATATAAGCTGGGATAAATGTGATCCAGACAGCACAGAATATGAGCATGCTGAATGTAATGAATTTGGCTTCATTGAAGTTATCGGGTAGATTCCGAGCCAGGAAAGCAAGTACAAAGCACATGGCAGAGAGGAGACCTATATACCCTAACACAGCCCAGAATGCACCTGCAGATCCCAGGTCACACTCCAGAATGATTCTGTCTGCATAGTATTTCATGTTTCTGTTAGGAAAAGGAGGTGAAATTGTCAACCAAAGAACACAAATCAAGACCTGTATAAGTGTGAAAGCAAGAACACTTAACCGCTGCTGTGTGGGGCCAAACCATTTCATAATGTTACTGCCTGGCAGTGTAGCCCTAAAGGCCATTAACACCACTATTGTTTTCCCCAGAACACAAGAGATGCACAGGACAAATGTGATCCCAAATGCTGTGTGGCGCAACATACAGGACCAGTCAGAGGGCTGGCCAATGAAAGTAAGCGAACAGAGGAAACACAGTGTCAATGAAAAGAGCAGAAGGAAACTCAGTTCAGAGTTATTGGCTTTGACAATGGGAGTGTCCCTGTTTCTAAAGAAGATGAAAGCTACACCTGTAGTGAAGCAAGCTCCGGACGAAGAGAAAGCTGTGAGCAGTATTCCCATGATTTCTCCAAAGGACAGGAATTCAACTGATTTCAATACACATTCATCTCTTTTGTCGTTTGACCAGAATTCCAAAGGACACTGAATACAATTGTTAGAATCTGCAAGAAAAAGTTTTAAAAAAAAAGAGTTCACAAGAACAGTGCAAAATCCTGCTATAGGTTGGCAAATGCATTTTTTATATTTTTCAACACATTTAAAACTATTGAATATGACATTACTGTATGTTGTTTTTTAGTGAACAGGCTAATGTGTATTCATTTAGGGAAGTTTAGCACAGAAGGTAAAAGTGTGTAATTATTTTGTAATCACATCGTAGTTTACCTGTTGTGTTGCTGATCTCTCCTTCAGCACAGTGTATGCAGTCATAGCAACACACAGGCCTTCCTCTCTGAACTGCCTTTCGAGTGCCTGGGAGACAGCTCTCACTGCACACTGACTTGGGCTTCTAGACAGGATACAGGTAACAAATAATTTGAAGATATAAGTTTATTTAAATTAACATTATTTATACATTAAATCGGTAGGTGAGAGGGTGTTTTTTCCTTACAAAGCAACTCTCACTGCAAACTGACTGAGGTTTCTAGATAAGAAACATGAAACAGGTATTACTTGAAATATTAGCTATATTGAAGCAACTTTATAGACACTTGTGCAATAGGTGAGGTTACCTGTTGTTGTATTGTTAAAATAGAACTACAATAATGGAAAAATAACAATGATAAAAGTATCAGAAAAATATAATCTTTGAGCTTGTTCATTGGGTATTTATTTTTTAACCGTCAGCCTAAACACGCAATGAATAGCTTCCAAATGCTAAACAGTCTGTCCTAACTCCAAGCACTACAACAAGACATTTAAGCCTAGCTTGCTTTAAGATGGGTGGGATTTTAAGCATAATTGTTAAGCAGAGTTCAAACTGAGATGTAAGAAAGGTAACCTGTCTGTGCCAAGCCACATTTAATCTTCCAAACTTGATTTTGTATTGCCTACCTCATATTGACCACCTGCCCATGAAATGTTTACTTGATTCATGACAAACTGACGACCCGCTGGCAGTGAAGCATCATAGTAACCGATGGTCGTGAACTGGATGGTGCTCTCGTTTACAAGCTGCCAGTTCACTAATTCATATCTTGCAACTGGATCTCCATTGTCATCGAAAGAGACTTGCTCTCCGGTTTTAGTTGTGAAACTGACTTTTTTGAGATGCTGAAGAACCTGTCCAAAAAACATGTGGCTATCATCACAGACATTAAATTTAGAATCAATTTAGAAGTGGAATCGGTTACTTTTATAATCAGGAGAGTATGAAAGTCTGATTTACCTGCCTTGGTTCAGTATTACTCATTTTTGCACAAGTGTAATTTGATAAAGAACCTTGTGCTTTGCACTCAAGCAGGCTATGTAGAGCATTTGCAACAGCATACACTGATTTATACACATTGTTGTAAAATCTCATCTCTGACACATCTGCATATCCACTTTTTTCTCTTAAATTTTCAGTTCCTGTACAAGGTGTCCTACCAGCTGGATTTTCTTCAGTTATCAGAGAACAATTAAATGCAGTTTCCCAAAACTTGTTAATGAGTGCATTGCCTGGGCGTTGAGATGGATGAACACTTGTTAAAAACTCTCTCAGTCCATCTACTTTGGTTTTGAGAATAGCAAACCCTATAGCTCCTCTCAGAATTCTATAACCCTCTGCAGTCGCAACATTACTGGCAGTAATCCAGGCTTCACTGCCAATCCACTGGTGACCAGTTACATTCTGAAGTGATAATTCTTTCAATAAAACAGTCATCTCTCCTCGGGGAAGGAAAGCTATAATGACCTTTGCTGTGCTCTGTTTTATTACATTTATGGTCTTAAGAATTTCCTCCCTGGGATAGTTTTCATGAATTGCTTCTGAATATTCAATACAGATGCCCTCTTTCTGGGCAGCTTGTGTAAAGGTTGCCATTCCATTATTGCCATAATCATTGTCACTTCTAATAGTCCCAACCCAGGTCCATCCAAAGTGCTTCACAAGCTGAGCCAGGGCTCTGCTCTGATAAAAGTCACTGGGGATGGTTCTGAAGAATGAAGGGAATCTCCTTCGATTGCTCAAACATGCACAGGTAGCAACATGACTGATCTGTAAAGAAGAAGTGCTATTTTAAATGGAAAAAATATGAATTACTAAGATTTTAAACACATTAAGATAATCATTTGACATGAAAGGAACTATATCACTTCATCAGTACAACAAACGTTGAAAATAAGACAGGTTTAGATATCCTAAATGAAATGAGGCGTTTTTTAAGTACTGTATTTCTGTTTTGATATTTCTAATTACATTTAAATTTAAAGTACTTGAAAAGAGGTCAAACAGTTAAATTAAGGATTTCTCACCACAGGAATATGAAAAGGTCCAACTGTTGCTGCCATTGCTATCGTTGTTGATGATGCAGACTGTCCGATTATAGCTTGAACTGCAGGTGGTCTGGAGCAGGAGGTGTCAGAAGATTCCTCATATCCATTCATCAGAGCCATGGCTGCTCTTACAGAAGAAGGTGAGGAGTCACAAGCATCGAAAATCTTGTATCCCAGAGACACGCCGGGAAGAAGATCCGTCCTGTTGTTGATTTCCTCAATGGCAAAAATCATTGTGTGTGCTGACTGAAACTCTACAAAGTTTAATCTATGAAAAAAGCATAAATAATTTTGATTCAAAAGTTTTCGCTAGACCCTAAAAAATAATTTTAAAGCTCAAAAGGAAATTGCTTGCTTCACTAAAGGATTGCTGCAAATATGAACAACTGCAAAAACAAAAAGTAATTATTGCAATATAGTACAATTATTAATAATGTTACCGATAATAGTAAAAGAATACTAACAGAGTTGTTCAGAACAGTCTAAAAATGTAACTGGACAGAAAAATATCGACAAACCTTTGGCATTCAGAAGGTTCTGGATTGCCTGTAAAGAGCTCTATTTTTTCAACAGTCCTGGTGTGCATTGACAACACTCCCCCAATCATAATGTCTCCATCCGCAGATAAATTCGGAAAAACTGCTCTGCCTTGAAGCCTGCAAAGAGGCTCTTCTACTGAAGTAAAAACAGCAGTAATCATCATCAGTGCTGTTACTTGCAATAACATTCTATAACACATGGAGACACTTTCTGGTTATAGCAAAAATGTTACAATTAGTTGTCCTTATATTGTGCACAAAGTCTCAGGAGTGATTAGGTAAGCAGAGCATGAAGTTCACAATGTTATGTAGGTATCCTCTAAGGGTTTATTTATTTTCTGCAGCAATGTTAAATAAATTATTACAGAACACTTAATGTGATGGTTTTAGACAGGTTAAATAACAACTAGGAGGAGACAGTACACAAAATAATCATCATCACATCCCTTTCGATAACTGCTTATCCAATTCAAGGTCACGATGGCCCGGAGTCTCTCCTTGGATTCAATGGGAGTAATGCAGGATACACCCTGGATGAGACGCCAGGCCATGGCAGGGAATACACAGACACAAACACACACTCGCACTCACACGAGGGTCAAATTCACAGAAGCCAATTAACCTAATGTACAGTACCTGCATTTCTTTGGATTGTGGAAGGAAAGCAGAGCACCCAGAGGAAACCCACACAAGAATAGGGAAAACATTCCTACTCCACACAGTCAGCACCCCAGGTCTGGAATTGAACCCAAGACCCCAGCACTGAAGGTCCATCATGCTAACTACTGCACCAGCATGCTGCTCTAGTCAACACAACATGTTAATTATATTGTAGTGTCTTCATGTTCTTGAGTTTGTGCCCTTGCGGCATCAGCCCCAGTTCATCCCTCACCACACAGGCTTGAACCCGGGTCTCTGGTGTTCAACAGGGGTCTTTGCCGGCTGAGCTAAAGAAGACCTTCTTCAGCCCAAGTGGCCAAGATCCCTCTTA